TTGCCACGTTCCTGGAACAGCCCTTTTTCAGAATGCAGCTTATTACTCTTCCTTTCTCCCCACTTCCGCACTTCACCCTTCCCTATGTTTTCTGCAATCTTTCATCTGAGTCTGAATTTCCAGGTTTGAAGCTGCTGCTTTCTGTATAGACTTCCTTCTCTCATCTAAAAATAGAACTCGAGCAATAAACCTTTTCCTTTAGTGTGTGAAATTTTCCTCTTACAGTTTAGCAAATCCTGGTCTGAATTCTACTTTAAAGGAAAACACTGCAGGCTGTCACCTGCAAGAGCATATGTTAGTTGATTTCTTGCTAAATTGACACCAGACATGCAACACTAAGTTCTAAACACATGACAGAGCTAAGAAAATAGCATGAGTTTTGAGTGTGACTTTTTTTAAGGTTTGGGGGAAGGAAAGGGAAAGATAACCCCAACAAAGTTCCTAAATCCATGTTTGAGATGCCTAGGGTTATCTGGTGTTAAGTACTTTGTTTCTTCAGTTATTCCTTTCTTCAGTTTAAAGTATTCAAGATTTGACATAGTTTATCATTAGAGTTTGTATAATCTTTCAAATATTTATATAATGAAATGCGTTTAAGTGAGAACCTTTTAGTCAATGTAAATTCAGTCTTAGCCCTGTTTGTGTAAGCAGCAGACCTGCTCACTTTTCATAGAATCTTGGATGGTTCAATCTGCACAGAAGCTTCAGATGCTGAAAACCAGCCTCTCATCCCATTCAGCTGTCTGTTATTCTTCACTATTTTAATGGGAGATCTGTGGTGCACCAGTCTTGAGAATTATAGTAAAGTGTGAGGAATGACACGTTCCAAGTGTTGATGGTTGAGGGTGGCACTTCACTCAGCTGGCCTGGCAATGTTAGCACTTGGAGTCACTGAACTAGATGGGCTTTAGCTGATAAGAGAAAAATCTATCAGAACCAATAGAAATTACAGTCTTTGCCATATTACAGCTTAAATCTTTCTCCCAAAAGCTCCAACAGTAGTATTTGAAAGGTAACTTTTTTATAGTTGTTTTTTCTTGGAAGTAACTGTAATTTTCATACCCAAGGTTGGTGGCTGGTGTCCTTGTTGGTCAGTGAGCATCACTCCTGACTTTGAAGGAGTGAGCAAGTAGCCTCTTTGTGTGTGTGTATTCTTACATAGGCACAGATGAAAGCAGCCTACCCTTATCTGCAGTACTGGGACATCTGTGCCTGGGAAGCTCTAGTTGAACTTAGTGTGTATTATCCCCTGTGCGAGTACCTTAGGAACACATGCAGTCCCTCCTTAATCTTGTTGGGTAAGACTGATGTTTCATATTCTTATTTACCACACCTTTTACTGCTCAGAATTCAAACCTTTCTCTGAAGGTGGATTTCCCCCTGTGTGCCCATGACTGTTACTAGTGAGACACTCATAGTGTCTGATTATCTCACTGTATCAGTTTTATAACTCCCCTGTCAGATGAGGTGGTATTTCTCATTAAGCCTTGGCCCTCCTCTGTAAAAGTAGTAAAAAGGTACATCTATTAAACTTGGGTTCCTGATGTAAGGTACCGGAGTCCTATTTTTATACTGACTACTGTGAGAATTAAAATCATCATTCCAAAAGACCAGCTTGAAGTGAGGGGCCTCCTGGTCATAGCTCCTTAACAGCAGCAGGAGGAAATGCATCTCCCCCTTGGATCACACCCTGGATCACGGGGAGTTAGGTCAGGGTGAAGTTAGAGTTCTGGCACCCCCCTACAGCATGGTCCTAACAGGAGCACCTCCCAGGAGTGGAGTGCACCCTGCACTAGAAAGGGTATGTTTGTCAGTCTCACACCAGTGGTGACTTTGCTGGGCAGAATCCTGCTTCAGCTTGGATTTGACTCTGGTTTTGGCTGCTAGAGTAGCAACTAAGGCTCAGTTCCTGAAAAGTGAGTTAGCCTTAAAAATAAACAGTCTTAACTGAGCAGATACCTCCACACCTGCTACACAGAATATTTATGAGAAACTAACTAATACAGCTTCCAATACAATGGTCATGGTCTTCTTCTAGGGCACCTGAAAGAATTTAGATGAACAATCATTTTTATAAGAATGCTTATACTCTGAGAGCTGCCCTTGAAGGAACTTGCTTAAACCTGATTTAAAAGGTGAGTTAACTTTTACTATAAAGCATCTCTCTGCTTGGCTCAGATTAAAAAAATGCTGCTTCCAAGCTTTTGGTAAGAAAGCAATTTACTACCAGCCACAAGTCAGTTATTGCTGTGGTCCCTAACATTTACAACTTGCCTTATGCCATAGTTCTGTTTAACACTGCATGCTTAGATGTGTTTAACACTTCATTGTTTGCCATTTGTAAGGAACTTAACAGTGTTACACATAGCCATGTCTTCACCTTGGAAGTTTTCCACAATTCCTAACATGGCTTAAGTTGCCCCCTCTTTTGCTTGAATTGAGGCTTAATTTGAAAGATGTGCTCATTGCCTTAGCAAAGTGTAGAACGATGGGACGGTAGTAAAGTTGGGGATACCACTAATGGTAAGTATAAGCATTTATCTTTTAATCTGGTAATTTTAAGGTAAAATACAAGCTCTCTCACGATTATGGGTGTCTAGTATCCAGGACTAAAGCAAAAGACTAAACTCTAACTTGAGTTAAGCCTAAATCATAGTATGTATGCATACCTTGATATCTTCAGTGTAACTGATTTTAATAAGCTTGGGAAAAAACCTCCAAAAGCATTACAGAGCAGGATACAAAACCTCCCCCTGCAATAGCCCCAACCATATTTGTAGAAAGCAAACAGCTTCCTGCTTAAGTGGATTCCAAAGATGGCATGCATGGGGAAAAAAGACTTGTCAGATTGGACTATTAGTGTAACATACATTTCAGAAGGCACTTTTATGCAGACTTGGTGCATGCTGTAGAGCAAATTGGCATTGAGAACCTGACATCCTTGCGTTATTTTTGCAGTTTTCATTTCAGCCTAGAAATAAAAAACTTTTCTATTTAAGCCCAGCCCCAGGTCTGGTGCAGCTGAATACCCCTTGAACAGGTCAAACGCAGTTAGAGGCATTCCAAGAGTGTTATTTCTTGCTGGGGTTTTCACTGTAAGTGAATCCAATTTGTGCATTGGGAACACTGCACTAACAAACTGTATCACAGTAAATGGTTTGCTAGCTTGGAAAGCACAGAAAAGCTCTTAGTTAAATATTAAGGTAATAAAAAATGTTTTTATACATACTTAGTGCAGCATTCCCACTGGTTTCTTCTGAAAATGTTAATTCACAGAAAATTTAAAATCAATCACTATATATAACAATCTTGAAACAATTCCTCTAGGTTCTGCTTCCCCCCATTTTCCAGCTGCAGGAGTCTCTCTGACATCAGATCCAAGAGAGCCATCACTAAGAGTATTACAGTTGCATAGCAACTTTAGTGCAATGAAGAAGTGGTTTAAAGCAGTCCTTTGCTGTGTATTTCTATTCCAACAGAAAGCAGTTTTCTATCACTGCAGCTAATAAAACTTTTGAAGAAAAACATATGCAGTGTTTCATGACTAAATAGGAGGTTTCTTTATTCAAATATCTTGTTATTTCTGGGCACTATCACCAGATTACTACACCAAGTGACCTTAATGTAGACAGTAGTCCAGCATTGTAATTTCTCTGCAAACAGAATGACAAGCTCCATTGTGACTCTCCCCCCTCTTGAGTGTCAGTTGAAAGTACAACAGAAATATTCTATGTATGAAGGTAGAAATGAACTAATATTAGGAATCCAGCTGTAATTTCTAAAAATTAGTTTACCTAGTCACCTACAGTGAAAAAGTCTTTCTCTACAGAAAAAACCTAAACATGGACATACACAACATAGAAGTTATATATTCCCAGTTTTGTTTATTTTCATGGAATGCTAATTTAGTTACAATATGGCAGTTCATATCTACTGAAATGTGACATTAATTCCAATGCTGCAGAACAGTCTTGATTTATATATATTGTATTAAAACAATCTTATTTTACATAGTTGAGGTCTCTGGTGGTTTTTAAGCTCTGATGTTTAAGCACACAGCAAGCTACAAACCTTAGGTTTTATATTTATACATATATTCTATGTATTCAGACAACTGCTGTAAGTTATCTATAATTTAATATTTATAAAAAGTGCATATACTGGTACATATGCACATCTAGAAACACACTTTTACTACTGCCTCCCTTTTATAAAAAGCTGCATAACATACAGCCATATTATTCTCACTCACTGCTATTAAAGTCTTTGACTATCTTTGTTACACAATTTAAACTATTCAATTTCCTCAGTCTGAACATAGGCATTTCTATGTATATTTTCTCCTAAAGAAAAGAAGTCCTCCCTATTCCTTTAAGAAGCTTTAAATCATGCATTAGTTTAGTAAACAGTCACTTTAGCATGGATTTTAGAATCCTAGACAGTGTAAAATCTACTTCTGGAAAATGTCTGTATATTTAATTTTTTTCTTTTAGTTACAAAAAATATATAGGATTGAAACATACTGAATACATGCATCTCTCAGTGGCTAAATTCTAGCCTTATAGATAAATTAAAAAAGTACACCCCTGCTAACAGGATGCAAACATGGCCTCAAATAGGCCATTACCTGTATTTAATATAGCTCCTTACATTAAAAAGTTCAAGTTAGCTGTTCTCTCAAGAGGGTGTCAAAAGACTGAAGAGCATAACAACTTTATACTCAATATACAAAGGTGGGTGCACATACCTAGTGCCCTTTGATTATTCAATACTTTCAAGGCTTCTAGGCTTTGTCTCTGGTGATACAAGTCCTGAAATGATCTGAATGAAAAGTTTAAGTTGCAAATTGTTTTTTTAATACACCATAAAAGTTATGTTTAAAAGAAAAATGTACACTGAACAACCTGAAGTACTCACTGAAACAACTGTACAAAACTATTATAGATACAGAAAGAAGTAATGGTGGACTCAGCTTCAAACAGAAGTAACACTTGTTAACCTATGTAAAAACTTGCTTTGTTTTATTCTTCTACCAAGTAAGAATTTGCAGCCATTCAGAACAAGTAAAATTCAAACCACCTCACAATGTTTACGTTTAAAGTTCTTTTATACAGTGCAAACGTTTAAGACAGAATTACTCCCCAGTGAAACTGGTGACACTATTCAGTGCCAGTCTTTGAAGATTCTTCTTTCAATAAGTTTATTTACATATTAAGCTAAAGGTTCACTCTATATGCTTTGAAGTTTGCTGAATATCAGCAGAAAAATAAGTGAACTAGCAGCAGCTGTATTACGAATATATGATGGTTATTTTAATGAATGCATGAAGTTTTCAAGACTGTATTCAGTGTCATACTGTTCTTGATCCCATAGTTCTCCGAGGTTTTCGAGTACTGATTTCATTGATGCTTTCCCAGAAGAGGTAGAGGTATCTGGTTTTTCAGTTTTTCCATCCTTCACAAAAGAAAAAAAAAGCAATTAAAAAAACTACTGGATAGAATGATGTTTTCCAGAATATAATATAAATTCTTCAGCTCTGATGATTCTTTTGAGGAAATACCACCTCCTCCTGTTTTTCAGAGAGCTGTCTACTACTCATTATTCCAACTTCAATTGTTCATCAGATTAAATTTTAGATTTCTAAGCAAAGCTCTTCCCTAAGCTTACTCTAGTTTTGGTAGGTATTTGTAAAAATGATTCTTCACCTTATCAAGAGTGAACAAATCAAGGAGCTGCTCTGTCCCCATGCTCTGTAGGCTTGCATTTTCTTGGCTGATCACTGTATTTGCAATATTCATTTTGAACTTCTGGAGACCCATAATTTTCTCCTCCAGAGTTCCCCTGGTTATCAGACGATATACATTAACAACACGTTTCTGAAAGAAAAAAAAGTACACAGCTAAAAAAATATGCTCTGGGTATTCAAGAAAGCATAACCTTTTAGCATTCATCACAGACAGTCTGGAAGCAGTATGACTTGGAGTTACCCTTCTGTACTCAGTAAGTCTGACTGCTGTTAGATGAAAGGAGTGAGACTATGCCAGCATACAGCAGAGGCACCTGCAATTACATCTGTACTCAGAAGTTAAGAATACACTACTTTTTTAGAGCTGTAGAGGGAGACTAACTCTTTTCCCATCTAGGCATTGGAGAAGGACAGCCCTGTGGGGCTTCCCTTTGGCTCCTCGTCTCAGATGCATCTCTTCCTTCACTGAAGAGTGATCCTTCCCCGGTCTCTCCTCAGCAGCTCAGGAAGCACCAAGGAGAAGGCACACCAAGTTGGGGGTAGGGTAAGAAAGTACACACATCAACATCTGGCCTATTTGCAAGAAAGCAGTATGAACAAAAGCTTGGTAGAAAACCCCAGATGTAACTTTTATTATATGCTACAACCTTATCCACATTTGAAGAACAGCAGTTCAGGAAGGGAAAAAGCTTATGAGAAATCAAGAGGTTTTCACCTGCCCAATGCGATGTGCCCGATCCATGGCTTGCAGGTCTCTCATTGGGTTCCAGTCATGTTCCACAAATACTACTGTATCAGCCCCTGTTAAGTTAAGTCCCAATCCACCAACATGAGTGGTGAGCAAGAGAACGTCTATAGATGGGTCATTGTTAAACCTGCATACAAAAAAAGTTAAGCATGGTAAATTTCATTTAAGTAATGAATTCATGAACTTCAGCTGCTCCGATGCTGACAAAAGAACAGATTTGTACCATGTAAATAATTCATTACAGTTGGCCTCATATTGGTTATGAAGGGATATGCTCACCGTGAAACAATGGAATGCCTCTGACCAGCAGGTATGCTGCCATCTAGTCGTAAATAAGAAACTGAAGGTAACTGAGGTCTGAGAAGGTCATGTTCCACTATATCCAGCATGCTCTTCAGCTGACAGAAGATAAGTACTCTGTGCTGGGCCACAACAGCTTCTGTACCACTTTCTGAAGATCCACTATTTCCCAAACCACAATCTAGCAACAGCTTAAAGTAGAAGAGCATTAGAGTGTTGCATCAAAAGTAGCTCTTATGTAAATATTGACATTGATGGACTATCCAAAGTAGAAATAAAACAAAAACCACAGGAGGTCTGTAAATGACAGTCACTTAAATGACATAACGCAAAGTTTGGCTTCACTGTCAAACTGAAAAATGCAAGAGTTGACAGTATAGTCTTTCTTCATTTTGCTTTATGTGCAATAGAATTTAAGTATGTAATGCAAACTAACTTCATCAAGCTAATACTCTGTATAATAAACAGGAAAGCTTTTCTGTAACAAGAGTGACAGGATTAAGAAACAAAAGTCAGATTTTTGACAAAGTAGCAAAAATCATCTAAACATCATCACTCTGAAGCAAGCTTATGCTTCCCCTTCCCCCTTGAATTAACAGGAAAAACCCTTGTACTCTACTTCATTTGCTACTTAGCTAGTGGTTGAAGGTCACTTTTCACATTGATTGAGTCTGAAGCAAAATTTTGTACATCGTAACATCACTAGACACACAAACAGGAAATGTAAGGCACAACATGTAAGTCTACTTACTTGTTTTAAAGCAGACAGCTTAGGCGCATGTTGGATGTCTCGAAGAGATGAATTATGAGATGCAAGTTGCTCTGTAATTCTTTTATATTCTGGATGTTGGGTTGTTAACACTAATGCAGGATGATTGCATAGCTTCCGTAAGTATTGCAATGCCTTTATTTAGGAAATGAAGTCCAAAGACAGAGTTAGCAACAATGTAGCTACAGAAAAAGGATGAGCACAACTGACTGTAAGCGTAAGGACCACTCAGCCATATTATGCAATTTGGAATTTAGGGTCTATTCTCACTAAAACAAAGTTACAGGTTTTCTTCATACAAATGTGCACTTCCAGCTGTAGCCCATAACAGTTAGGTGCATCCTGATCTTGGTTCCTGCTGCAGGAATGGAGCAGCACAGACTGCGGTTCCCCACACCTTCCCGCGAGCGCGTGATGCAGCAATGCGGGCTTGGGAGCTGCGCAGAGCCTTTGGGAATTATTGTTCCCAAGTAGCCAAGACTTAATCTGCAATTCTGCAAGACCACGAACCTTCATAAATTCAGATCTAACCCTACGACATTTTTCTGTTCATGCTTCAGAACCTTAGTTTTGTAGTGTAACAACTAATGAGATCAAAATTAGCTCCCTCTTGTTTTGAGATTGCGCACTTTTGGTCATTAAGTTTTTCACTGAGCAGTATCCATGATCTACAGAATAGCTGAGCACCAGTTCAGCAAGACACATTAAAAAAAATTTAAGACAGTTTTATATGACTTAAGACAAAAACTATAATTTAAGCATAATAGGTGTACATCTCAGACAATCTGATCTGACCTAAGTATTTTACTTAGATTATATGGCCACAAATGTGCAAGCTGTTTTGATTTCCATTTTTTATTAAGCCTAAAAATACAGTTACCAGAAATAAGTGAAGTAGGTAGTAAAGATTACTGAAAAAAAAAAAAAAATATGTACCTGAAATACATGACCTGTAGCTTTAAGCTTTGGTTTTTCAGTTTCTTCATTCAGTGAAATTGAAGAAACTGTTTCATCAATATCACATTTGGCACGAGACTTGGCAAAGTCTTCATAAAGTTGAACCTGTAGACCAGGCCCCAGACAAGAGAATAAGTATGCTTTCCTTGACAGTAGTAGGACAAAGTAATTTTTAGAATTTAATTCCAAGTTAATGTTCTGAATTATCACAAATCAATAAAGCTTTTTTATATGTAGCACAAGATTAACATTAACAGTATAATCTCTTGCAATTTATTTTCTTTCAACTTAGAAAGTATTAAGAAAAATCAGCAGATGCTTAGATGTTGTTCTTGCAGAATGATGCCAGAAATTAAGGAAAAAAAAAAATTCTTATTGCAACTGGACTGAAATGAGTTTTTAACCATGTACTAGTAAAGCTTTTTAGTCCTGTGGTCCCAGAGGACATCAGAGCTGACATCAGATTGACCCAGGAATACAGAAGTGGTTCCTTTGTGGTCTTAACTGTGCTGGGAAAAAAAAAAAAAAAAAAGCTTCCAGAGACTTTTTAAGCATACCTGTAGAGGACTGAGAACACAGTAATAATCTTGAATAATTTTGGGTGGAAGATCTTGCAGTACATCCTCTTTCATCCTCCTTAGCAGGAA